TTAGCTTCATGTTTTTTGTTTCACCTTTCTCTTAAATTGTATTTTTTGTTGTTGTTAGTTTGGACATCATCGGTCAGAGTTGTTTGCAATCCATGTACATCGGGTTCTTTATCATTCCAAATTTGTCATGCTTTACCCCAATAGGTCTTTACTTCCCAAGACTGGCAGTTAGGGAAGGGGAAAGATCCTTCTCACTAATCCATTTGCCAGCCATTTCTCACTTTTATGACTGCTCCAATCCTGATTGTTTGTTATGTCATGTTAGGACCCTCAAGTGTTATGTGGCTCATACTAAATAAATTTGATTGTTCATTCATTGAAATCCTTCTATTTCCTGTGACTTATCTCCCATTACCCTAATGAGGTGACTTTGTAAATTGATTCACATGATCTATAATAGATTATCATTACAGGAGAGGAATCTTTTGCATGTCACATCTCACCAGATCTTTCATATCTCTATGTTAGCAGCTGCACGGTTGAATTGCCATTTGGAGACATTTTGCGGACTGGTATGTGGATTACTCCTAATACTTTCCTATCTCATTGCGTATATAATATGGTAGTTTCCTTTTCTGAGGGTTTTTGATCACCCCCTGTAGCTATTTTGACCACATCTGTTAGATTTTAACCAGAGGTGAATATTTTCTTCAATCATATTCTGTTTTATTTCCAGGGTCCCTTTATTTTTCACTGGATCCCATTCTGTGGCGAGTGTTGCCCATGCAGGTATGCTTTCTCTTTTCAGTTTCACACTAGCAACCAATTTCACTATAATTATCACAGGTAGCAACAGGCTATTGAAATGGAGTGTTCCATAAGACTTACCAGATGGTATTACCTTATTATTATGGACCGCCACTCCTGGACTATCATGAGTAAAGCTAAAGGGGGATCCTGCCCGTCCCTGCTGATCTTCAGGTTGAATAAATTGGGGTCAGTTTTCTTTCAAAAATGTAGGTAACTTGGTTCAATTATTGTACAGTTTCCAGAGTACTGTTCCTCAAAATTTCCCAACACGTATTACCCCCAGAATTTATTAGTGGAGCTCAAGAGTCCTTACCACCTCCAGTTGCTGGGGTGGTGGACAGAGACTTTTCCTCCAAAGTGTTTGAGTGTGTTCGGGTCCATGGATGCTTTTCCCAGATGTCAGAAAGATTGCCACCAACCTCCACAGGAGCCTACTCATAATTCTGGTTCAGATTTAACATGAAGCTATCCAGTTGGGGGATGCATGGCCCTTCTCTTTTATCAATGTCGGTTTTGTATATTGTTCATGGAAGGAAGTCCACTATCTCCTCATAATACCAAATGTCAAGTCGCACCATCCTAGATCCTTGGTTGAGCACAGATTCCATGTCTTCTCCATAATTCCATGGGCAAGTGGAATACTCCTTGCTCACTTAGTTGGGGAGTGAGAATGAAGGTTCATAATTCCAGACCGGATGAGTTCTGTTCCTTTGTTGAGTACGGTATAAACAATCTCATTATTCTGAGCCCGGGGTGTTGCCTTTTGGACTTCGATGCTGCTTACTTTCTCGTCTTGATTCCATGGTGCAATATGCATCACTCTGTGGCTACAGGGTGTGATCCAATCAAAAGTGTGTATGTGTGTGTGTGTGTATATATATATATACAATAGCCTTAGCTACCAACGTACTATGACCCCTTAATTCCAACCCCTAGTTGTGGAACCTTGACTATCTGGTTGGGGCTGGCCTATACTGACAATTACTTATATTCTATTCCACCTTTGAGATAGGAACTGAGTCCCAGGTGAAGAGCATACCTGCTCTGGATGTAGTGCGGGTTCCCCACTCTTGTACCATCTTTATCTTGGTACACTCCTCTTCTATACAGACACCTTCTGTGTGGTTCATACCTGCACTGGCCCCTCCACCTTCTCAACGTGGGATTCTTGCTATAGTATCACTGGAGATAAGTATGTTTTGTACTCTTGTACCATCTTTATCTTGGTACACTCCTGTTCTATACAGACACATTCTGTATGGTTCATGCCTGCACTGGCTTCTTCACCTTCTCAATGTGGGATTCTAGCTATAGTATCAGTGGAGGTAAGTATGTTTTGGAAGTTAACATTTTCCTAAACTGCAAATATATTTCCAATAATACTTACCTCTGCTGACACTCTTCTGCTTTACCTCCCCACTAAAAGTCAGATTATGTCTCAAAAAAGTGATTACATTATCTGAATGAGGTGCTAATATACAGTACCTAAATAGAGGGCGCATTGAAGTTCGTGGAGAATTCTGCAAATTAAACTTTGCCAAGAGCAGTCAAGTGGGGTATAAAAGACTGGAGCAAGCATTTTCAATGTTTAGATGGGCAAAGAGTGGAAACTCTGGAGATTGAGAAATAGCTATAGTATCAGCAGAGGTAAGTATTATTGGAAATACATTTTCAATTTAGGAAAATGTTGACTAACCATGAAAACTAATTTCAATTAGTTGATTATTTTCATAACTTAATCGTAATAATAAACAATCAGAAAATATGAAAATAATTTAATTACATTTTGCATGTGAATGCAGTACCATCTATTGTCCAAGAAGCCAGTTGATGGGCTTTCTATTTTCAAGAATTCAGACATGCATAATCTTGAATCTTTGGTTGAGATGTCACTATCAACATCTATTAAATTTACCAGGTAGTGATTGGAACTCAGTTTGGCAGCCAGTTCTTTTTGAATTAAATCTGAAATTTGACCAATAATTTCTGCACGTAGCATGTTATTATCACATGTTAGGTTGATGTCAATAGTCTTTTTTTTATGCAGAACAATCAATGTACCAAATTTTGAAAATGTAAATTATTCATTTGCAATACAGTGTACAGTGTTAAGTTTTATTTTAATTGCCTTGTAACATCTTCTGTAGAAAGTGCTATTTGTGTTTATGATAATCTAGAAGGTAGTGAAATGGTGTGGCCGACTTGTCTGGGTGTATGTCTGTTAAAGATGCAATTTTTTTCTGCCATTCGTTCTTCTGATTCCTTACAAAATGTGTTTAACATACATTCTTTAACATTGTCAAACTTAAGCCAGGAAAAATGTTTCAGGCACTATTAATTGAACTTATTTGTTCTTTTTCTACTCTCCATCAGTTGTGAACAGGTGGTATCTAGCCAAACATCTTTTAAAGTTTCCTGCTCACTTTCATCTTTTAGTATATCCTCATTGCTCTTTTCTTATAAAGAAGCCAACATATTCTTTTAAATTTTGGATTCTCTAGACCAACTGTGAGATTTATTTAATTTTCTTCTTTTGAAAGCTTTCCAGTCACATGAAAATAAGTTATTTTATTTATCTGGTTTTGAGACAGAAAATATACCCTATCAAATGAAAAGGTTTCTAACTGTCTGGAAATGAGTAGAGATTACATTGATAAATCACAAGCATTTGATGGTAGAATTTGTTTTTAATGTGTAATTAAAAGTGAGTGAAATACACTACAACTGAGCTATAAGAGTTTTATTTGAAAAAAAGTTTTGTACTTTGAGCTACACAAAATTTACATTTTTATAGTACATTTTTAGGAATTTCTAATCATGCACGTACATATAAAGTACAAGTTATGTTCACAAGTGCAGTTTTTTAGTTGTGTATGGTCACACCCTAGAGCTCTGCTCTGTAAAAAAAATAATACAATTTGAGTTAGTAATTGTATATATTTTCTTTGTTGCTTGCCTAAAATCTTGTATACGTATTAATCAATGTTTTTAATAAAAGTAATTTTCTGTGTTATTCTATTGATGGTACAAATAGTTTTCTTCTTTCTACATTTTGCTTACATATACAATCAAAATAAATTGAAAATATGAAGAAATAAATAAAACTAGGTATTTTTTGCATTATTGATAAGGAAAATCCATTTTCTATATCCAGCAAGTTATAAGCTGTTTTATGTTCATCAGTATATTTCTTTGTAATTTTCTTGTGTTTTTTGCTTTGACCTTTAAAGTAGTTAGGTAACTGTGAAAAAAGTATGTAAATAACATATGATCAGTGTCAGGTTTTATATAGGGCTGTGAGTTGTTGGCGATAAAGTTCAACAATAAACGGATAGCACTACACTTCACTTGTTTTAAAATACTATATATACAAAACAAGTCAAATGTATATACAAAAATTTGTTACACTATTGTTTACCACAGTTGTATCCAGAGCTTTAAATAATTGTCTCCCTTTTGTTTCTTGCCAGCACCATCTTTGTAGTTTCCTCCCACTGCTTTATTTTGAAATTTCTGCTGTTGCTTGTTGGTGACAGACTTACACTCACTTGCAATATGCCCCATTTTATAACAAATGTAGCATCTCTTCTCCCTTTTGTCAGTTGAGTTCTTGTCACCTTTGGTGTCCTGTTTCTGATCAGCCATCCTTGGTTTCAACTTTAACTGGTTATTCTTGGATTTGCCAGTTTTACTCCTTCCATGGGTGTTCATGTACTGCTCTGCCAGCTTGATCATCTCATTCACATCTTTTGGTGCTCTCTCCTTTAGGAACTGTGACTTGTCAGTTGAGCATGTGATCATAAACTGTTCATGTATTAGTAGATCTGCCAGTCCTTCAATATTTTCACTTTTGGCCATGTCAGTCTGCCTTGTGAAGTATCGCCATAGATGTGCCACAAACTGAAATACAGTTTTTCCAGTGTAAGGTTTGACTTTTCTGAGCTTCCAGTGAAAACTTTCCTTGGTAAGTTCATAACATTTCAACAAGGCCACTTTAACTTGTCATAATCCATGGCATCTTCTGATGTCATGCCTGCATACACTTGTGGTCTTAGCATAAGTAAATATCATCAAGTGTGCTGTTTGGTAAACAAGTAGTGCAGTTTATATTGTGTGGTTTATTAGAAGGCAAATGAAAAAAATAGATGTTTGTGTCTTATGATGTTACAGTTTTAAAAAATTGATACATTGAACAGAAAACACTTTAAGTCAATTTTGTCAAACAACCTAAATGAGAGAACTTTTTTTAGGTATTTTGGAAGTGTTTAAAAATAATAGGAGTCAGCCAAGTGCCACAATTGATCCACCCAGCACCTCAGCCTTGAATGAAACTGTTTCTCCATCTAGTGGTAGTAAAGTTAAACTTTCTACTTTAACAAAAAATCATAGTACAAGAACTTGTTCGAAAGCAGAGTTTGGGGTTGAGCGGCAACTTCCAGCACCAGAACAGTGGTTACCACCTTCCACTTCTAGATATTCTTATAAGGTAGAAAAAGTTACTTCTGCTTCACAACTGGAAACAGTGATTAAAAAGAAACCTTGCAGACCCCATAAAGTTACTTCCACATTGACTGTGAACTCTCCAGTTGTCACAGCTAACTTTTATTCTGAAGACAAACCTAAAGCTACCTCTTCAGGAACAAAAGGTGAGTTATAAAAAGTAGAAGTAGAAAAATAATTTTTCTTCTGTATGTTAATTATATGGTGACACTTCAAATAAACATATAACTAGTAAGTTACGTGAAATTAGATTAGTTTTTAATAAAGTTGAAGGAAAATTTCTACACAAAATATTACTTGTAGGAAATCAGATATACAGCATATATCAGACCAAATGTTTAAAGCAGTTCAAGTATTTTTTTTTCTAGTCTTGATAATTTCTAAACATTGCAATATCTTATGTACAATTGAATATGCACTCATGTGCTTGGTATCAAATTTCCATTGCAAAAATGACACTTTATATGTACAGGTACATCATAAATTTTCTGGCACTCTTGGTTCCAGAGCTTTGCCGGACCAACAGAGGTTGCGTAATAATAATTCAACAATACACCTCTGACCCAATAATTATACTTTGCTTCTTTATATCGTAAACAATTGACAAACCAATACCATACATATCACACAGTTTCTGCATGGAAATGCCACGGTTGAGTTGTTTCAGTAGTTCTACCTTGTCTTGTATCGATATGGACTTGTGCTTATGCTTGACACTACGACTGACACTTGGACCTTGTATAGAAACCATAGCTAGGGTTAAATGTAAGCAAAATAAACTAACAATCGCACAAAACTGAGGGATCACCACCACCAACTGCAGATGTAAACAATTAACTCTTTCGGCATGGAGGCACATGATACCATCTTTAAATTCTATCTGTTGACATAAATAAAAAATTTAATTAAACAACTTTCTTTAAATATTTTTTAAGAAAAATTGTTATTTTCAAGTACGTTATATTTTGAATTTTCATACACTATTATCAACATTCTGTGTTGTAAAAAAATTGAAACTAAATATTTGTATCTTGTTAAATTACATATTCTGTCAACATTCATGAAACAATTCAAGCTGTTTGATCCACTAGTTTAATATTTATAAGAAAATTTTCACAAGAGTGATGTACCTACTTAAAATGTAAGTAGCCCATCCTGAGAGTGTGCACCACAAGCAATGCCATATGTGGCTGCCCTTTGAACTAGTCTGGCGGTCGCAGGAATTTCAAGTGCGCTCTCGTAATTTTGTCCAGATTAAAGGAGGTGCGAGGTGCAAACCATCAGTTGCCGAAAAGTTGGTGGTATGTAATGTATTTGGGTTTTCATATAGTGAAACTAGCTTGTGTCAGATTTTTGTAGTAGTCATAGTTAAGTTTATGTTTTACTTCCAATATATTAGAATAGGTACACGAAATAGACAACATTCTTTGAAAACATATTAATCAGAATGACAATGTGAATATTATTATCTGCTATTAGTTTGAAAGTTTAAGGTCAAAGTCCATGCCAAAAGTTACTTTTCAGATACATTTTGATGCATATGAACTCTTCATTACTATTTTTTTCTTTTAATTCTCTTACAACTCCATAGGAAGCTAGAGATATAACTGTAGCTGCTGGAGAAACAAGTTTTATATCACAGTGCCTTTGAAAGTTAATTAAATGCAAATAATTTGTTATACCTTTTTTTCTTTTCTTTTCTATATGTCTAATATAAATTGGATGGTGTTTATTAGATATTCTATTAATACATGTTTGTTTGTTTTTTCTAGTTTTTAGATTTAAAAGTTAGGTGTATCTGTGATAATATGAAATATTAGTTTCGAATTTTTTATTGCTATCAAGCAAATTTGCAGGCATAATGACCATTAAGATTTTTGTCAAATACTAAAAAAGATACTTGCATCAAAGAATAATTATTTCTGTCAGTATTAAAGAGGCCAACATTTGCTGATGAATGCAGTGTGTCTCTGCTGTGCAATCCCAGCATGGCTCATTTTAATTCCAGAAAAATCATGAAAAACTTAAAACTGTCTATATCTTATTTAGAACCTGCAAGAAGGTACCTTTATACCAAATCCCATGGAAATTGGCTGAAGTACAGCAGAGTAACTGTCAAAAAAAACACCAACTAGAATTATGCTTTTTGTGGCTTCTTGACCCCCCTGTTATTACATAAAATGTGCAAGTACACCACTTTTGTTTGTCAATGTGTGGCATCTATAGAAAAGTGTCCATGTAGATTGATCAAAATATGGTTGAATAATTGGCCCAAAACCCCAGAATTAGGCTTTTTTGTGTAAAATGTGACCCACCCACCCCAAAAAAAAGACTCAAAATGGACAAATCCAACTTTCTTTCTTTTTTTTCTTTTTTTTGTACTTCAATGTGTTGGGCACATGAAAATTTATATTTGTGCTAATTTTCATTTTGCTTGCTGCAAGTATGACTGCACAGGAGCTCAAAATGTACATTTTTGGGTTGTTTGACCTTTGACCCCATAAAATCTTTTAAACAGTTTAAATCAAAAATATGAAAATGGAATCTGGGTACGTTGAACCCTACCAAGTTTCAAGTCAATCAGCCATGAAATAAGGAATGGCAGTCAATTGAAAAGTGTTTGGAAAAGAAACAATAATAAAACAGTGTCTCTCTGCAAAGACATAAAAATTGTGAGCAATGGGTGTCGGGCACATGCTAAGTTGTGGAAGATGTCAAGATCACATGGCCTCCTATTGCTTTGTTGCTCTTCTTAGGAAATGACAATCAGCTCATGATTTTAGCTAAAATGGCTTACAGCATATCTTAATTTATTATTTAACTTTTCAGTTTCCATTTTTACTATATTTATATTATGAACATGCAATAAGATCGTCACATACATAAAAGAGCATTTGTCAAGTATTCTTTCAGGATTTCAGCTTCTATATGATTTTAAAATCAGGAGAAGGTTTTTATAACTGTGTGGGGAATTACTGCTCAAAATAGCAATCACAAGTCAGAAAGATCAACTCGATTTATGAATATAAAAAGTTATTGAACAGACAATACAAAATGTGATGTTTCACTCTCAGACACTCAAGCAAGATTACAATATTTGTTTTTTTTTCTTGTTATGCTTTTGATTTTTTCTTCATCTTTTCTGCTTAGATGAACAAACTTGGTTATCACTTTTCACTGACAATCCTTGCCAATCATGTGTAATGTAGGTCCTATATTTATGTATACATTCAGAAGTTAATATTGTCAAAATTTTCATTGATGTGGGAAGAGAACGTAGAAATTAATAAAAAAAAAAGTTATGTTCTTTCAAACATCTGGAAATTTTTACATAATATTTGTGGTTGCAACATGCATTATAAGTATAAGTTTCAAAAACATCAAACTCTAGAGTTCCCCTTCCTACCCTTCTGATCTAATTATTATATTTGGCTTTGGTAATTCAATTTACATATAAAATACAGTAATTTGGCACAATAATAAGTTTTGTTCTTAATACACAGTATTTATGTTGTGTGATTATGTTACTTGTAGTCCTGAAATATATATGCAACAACATATATAAACATAAATTTTATTAAGACATTTATAAAAAAAATTTTTTAATTTTATTACTTTCTTCACATACACCGTCCTTTCTTTGTCGTCGTACCACCGTACGTAACTATTCGGAGTAATTAGTCTCCGTTATTAGTAGACTTTAAGTTTTTCCG